ATTTTTTTCTCTAAGGTTACAATGAGTATTCACCAGGCTCAAAAATCGCCATCGTATTTCTATCAAGACAAATGTCCTTTTCACACGAAATAGAGTGTTTAATTAGAAAAGTTATTTTTACATGGTTGTACTATACTCAGTGTATACTGTAGTTAAATACATGTATGTAACTATCGAGCCAGAGTTTTAAAATGTGATTGACATTTTGGTTTAGTGCACTCAAATGACCTGAAAGAAAAGTGCGTTGATAAAGGTGAAAAAACTTTGGTCATGTCCTAGTAACACTATGTACTACACAACAATTTCAAAGGCCTAGACTGATATGATTTGACAAGCCAAAAAATTCTGGTCAAAAATGATCTCTTGAACATTACAACAGGACTTTATATGTGTGTATTGTTGTTTTAGTAGTGGCTTCTACTATAATTTTGTTTTACTTTCTTCAGAAACATTTTGAAGTCAGCTGCCGCAAATATCCACAGACCTGTGAAAAATGTGGACAAGAAAACATACCGAAAGACATGGTAAATTCCTTTGCTTTTCTCAGTGTTTTCTGTCATCAGGAGTTTCTTGAAATGCTCCCGAGTTTCAACATTGTGCAGGATGCAGGGAGGGAGAACTGCAAGAAAATTTCGAAAAGGATGCACTGTTTTATGTGGGCACCCAGAATTTACAGAAAATTATCAATACTGCATTGCTGTCCCAATTACTTTTGTCCAGGATTGTAAGTTTCTGCAGATCATAGATCAGAGCAGTCAAAGGGAAGCCAAATTGCAGTGTCGTTTTGCAGGGCTTCTGTTGTTGTACAGGCGCTAGTAGTTCCTTTATTTTCCAGATCAAGGAACATTTGGAGAATGAGTGTCCTAACACAGAAATAAAATGCCCTTTTCACATTGTTGGATGCACGTATGAGGTATGACAGCTTTTTATGATCAAGAAAAAAATACTGTAGTTATTGTTAAACCGTTCGCTGCTAATAGACCCTACAATGACCAAAAGATTCAAATTCCTTTTTTTAAAATCCAAAGAAATACATAGTACCATGCAAAAGGTTTGCCAGCGTTTAACACTATAGAACTCTGTCCGCAGACTCAGAAAGGTATTAACAGTAACCGACAAATTATCCTGCCATAACTTGATTAGGAGTAAAAGTGATGAATGGAGAATCTACATGTATGCTGTTGTTATTATTTCAAGTAATCATAATGATTTTATACTCATCGCCAATAGATGAGCTTGGGAACTGGTGCCTTAAAGGTTGGACGGGAGCCTGAACGCCTCAGGCATAGCAAGGAGGTATCCATGGCAACCCTGCGAGCGGGAACCACCCCTGCATGCAGCCGCCAACTGGCACCGTCACACTGAACGAATTCAGTGGAAAATAGTCACCCGACCTAATACTTACCAATGCACAGAAGGGGAGGGACGGGCTGGGAGCCAGAATCCGCAACGATTCGCTAAGCAACAGATCTGTAAAGATCAGCTCAAAAATGCCAGCGTGAGATGCAACGTAAGTCACAACATAAGCAAAAGGTCCCTGTGGTCACCCCACAGATCACCTACGCTTGAGGAGGAGACCGCTGACCGCATTGGCCTGCAATTTAACTTTGCCTAAATTACATTTAGCCACATGTAATAATGATGGTGGTAATGTTCAATATTGATTTCCGCGGGACAAAACATAAAAAAATTGAGTGGTGACAAGAACAAGGGGAGAAAAGTAGAAAAGCTATTTTATCTCAAAAGTCCCGTTCCCCTCCTCTCTTTGTTCTTTCTTCCTGCCTTCCTCTTAATCTGAAACAAAAGATTTCACTGGGATCCCTCTTGCCTGAGGTATACTCCTGTACTGAATTGATGCTTTAATTTAAAATCGAGAAGGACACTAAGCAGAAAAAAAAATGACAGTGACGCTGATGATGTGAACCTGGGGCGTAGCCAGCTTTTCGACTAGTTGTAGGCCTGGCTGACTTTCATTTCCACACATCCTGAAAATTGTACGCATGACTGGTACGCACTGACCTCACCAACACTTTGACCTCTTCAGCGGTAGAGTGATCAAACAAAACATTTGTAGGCCCGGGCCTACAGGTCCATAGGCTGGCAAAGCCCCTGTGAACTAACTGTTAAGTACATGTAGGCGAGTCATGAAACTTGCAAATTCTGGTTCTTCGCGTTTTAGGCCATTTTGTTCCTCTCGAGATTTAACTCATCCCCTGAGAGCTAGGAGCAGATAGAGGGGGCGAGGGAAAGTCTAAACGGGCGGAAAAAAATGGAGGGAAGAAAAGTAAAGAACGGGGAAAAGAACCCCTGGGGACAATGTCTTACCAGACCAGTTCCAAAATGCCGCGTCCGTTCTGGCTTCTGATTGGTGCCAGAAAACTTTTGTTTCCCTGCCCAATCAGAAGGCTCAAGCCTATGAGTCGTTTCGTGTGTCCTTACACGGAATGATACATGAAAAGTTCCAATCTTAGCACAAAATGTAAGGGATATCGTTCGGAGTTTAGGCGAGAATCTCACCGGCAAACACGCTGGACCTTTCGCAGGTGTCATAACAGTAGCCTATTTGAAAGTTTGCGAAAATATTCACCGATTCACTGATGTGTTTTGGATTCAAGGAGATATAAGCTTAGGCTTTAAAATTAGGCAAGCATGGTGCGGTGGTGAGAGCACTCGCCTCCCACCCTTTTTATACAGGTACAGATCCCTGTGCCTACGCCATATGTGGTTGTTGAGGTTCTTGTTGATTCTCTCCCTTGCTCCGAGAAGTTTTTCTCTGGGTACTCCGGTCAGTTCCCCTTTCCTTAAAAACCAACATTTCCAAATTCCAATTCAACCAGGAATCAAGTAGATGAAGAACCACTAATCGCAGTGGATGTGCTACCTCTAAATCATTATTAATTAATTTATTTAAATGTAGGTCTGTGCTAGGATTGATGATCTACGCAGGGTCGAGTTCAGATAATATTTGAGACACATCTTGGCTCTGTGACACGCATGGGAAGGAATAAATGTCATCTAGGACTTTTACTTATCAAGCAGCTTCTCTGCATTCCATTCTCATGCATTGTGTCTTCAGCAAAATAATGGATGAAAACGTCTTGTCAGTCAATCGTTTTATTTTACCTCATATTTATACACTGTTTCCTGGGTGGAGATGCATGTTCATACTGTGGTACAACGTGAAAAAGGAACAAGGATTAAACTAATAATGATGCACATTTCAGTGGATGCGAACTGAGCTAGCAGTAGCACTACAGAATCAGGGCTCATACGAAAAATTGCTGTCATTTTTTAGGACTTTTCAAGGACCACATTGGATTTTTAAGCACTACCTACCAGGAATGTAAATCACAGATTTGTGCATAAATGCAAATTACAACTCCAAGCTAAAAGGACTTCAAGCTTGAACTGTTTGCTCCACCAGTTTCTCTACATTTTTCCGTGCACTTGTCTTAAATTAATAGTTAATTCTTGCATAAAACTCAAAAGACTTTATGTAAATCACCTATAACTTCTCTGGGCTATGATTTATACTCTGCTCTTGGACAACCAAAAAGCTTTAAAAACAGTTTCCAGGCCACTTCATTCAAAGTTGAAGAAATTTCTACGACTTTTCAAGGATTTGCACAGAAATTTAAGGAGTTTCAAGAAAAAATGGAATTCAAGGACTCCCTCCGAAAATTCAAAGACTTTTCAAGACTGTGCAAACCTTGGATTGTCAGTGTACAATGTATAACAAACCACTGCAGCAACATTTTATCTGTAAAAATTGTTTGAAAACATTCCCCTCTCGATCTTTTCATCCCAACAAATGATTCTTGGCTTCCACGAAGCAGATCAGATTCTTTACGTGTATTTTCTCGATTTCAGCTCATTTACTCCTGAGAGAAAGTTTAAAATGCAACGAATAGCATTTTTTTAATGCAAGTTTCACTCTAGGAAATATTTTCAGCGATATACACATCGGTGAATATTTTCGCAAACTTTCAAATAGGCTGCTGTAACGATACCTTCGAAAGGTCCAGCGTGTTTGCCGTTGAGATTCTCGCGTAAAGTTCGAAGTATATCCCTTACATTTTTATCCTGTACACAGGCGTTGTTTTGTTTTTCTTTTAGAAAACATTGGCGAGCGCGCGAGATTGAAACTTTTCATCTCGAGCAAAGCCTCGGCGACCGGCCCAGAGAAACATGGCGAGCAACTGAGCTTCATGTATCATTCCGTGTAAAGACAACGAAACGACTCATAGCCCTGCTGCCTTCTGATTAGGCAGAAAAACATAAACGTTTTCTGGCACCAATCAGAAGCCAGAACGAACGCGGCCTTTTCGAACTGGTCTGTTAGAACATTGTCCCTAGGCACCGCCGTAGCCAGTATGAGGCGGACCGAGGCACTCGCCTCGGTAAAATTTTACCAAATACTGTCGATTTTTATTTTTTTTATCAGACTGATAATATTAGAAGATTTCATACGGCTGATTTCGTACAACGGACCGTGTGTTCGCCTCGGTTGTAGTTTCTTCCTGGCTACGGCCCTGCTAGGGGCTCTGCTACCCGTTCTTTACTTTTCTTCCCGCCATTTTTTTCCGCCCGTTATAGACTTTGCCTCGCCCCCACTATCTGCCCCTGGGTCTCCGAGGATGGATTCAATTCATTAGTCCAGCCAAATTTTGATTACTATATTGTACTGTGGGATAGCTGTCCTAAAAGGTAACGTTCAGTAACAATCCGTAGCGGAGTAGTTTTTGAATAACTTTGAGATGTTTAATGTTGTGGTGAAACACTGTTTTCAGGGTTTGCTATATCTTTTTACAATAGAATAATTTCGAAGGAGAGAAATTGATGGTTGCATAAACGAGACTTGTTTCATTAGATATCTGTAACAGTGCACGAGTTACTTTTGTCTTTGACTTTTGAAATATCAATATGAGTTTGAGAATTTTAATCCAAACCTTCTTGTTTCTTACTTATGTTAGGGTTTGCGAGTTAATGTCAACAAACACATGATTGAGCAGCTGACCGGTCACTTGACCGATATGTCAAAGACAATTGTTGCTTTATCTACGTCCATTAAAAGAGAACGACAGACTCGACGAACTGCTCCAAGACGCACTGGAGATGATTTGGGAGCGCGCCCTCAGGAACAGGCTGCACAAGAAGTCTATTTGAGTGAATTGTCGACACAGACACAGAATCACCAGGGTGCGATAGATGAACTGAGACATAGGGTCAACAATGTTGACAACAATGTACATCGTTTGGAGCGTCGGCTGGAAGAAATTCGTATGAGGCAGGAAAGACCAATTCAAGAACTCACAATGCGGTAAGTGTCGCATAACTTACAGATCGCAGTAACTCGTGCTCTGGTTCAGCGTTTGCAAACTTTGTTTGTCAGCGGTGTAATATAACGTAACAATTGCTAAAATGTGTCCTTCTTGATAGCCTAGGGATCAAAGTTGGTTTCTATTTGGGTCCATCTCCACCTGTCACTCGGCGCGGTTTGCTGTTGATTCTTATTCGAGTCTAAAAGTTCTTCACACAAGTTGTCCGGTTGGTTCTCCTCTTCGAGAACCAGTATTTCCAAATCCCAGTGTGATCAGTTAATAGAGCATCATACAAGAGCCCAGAACATTACGGAACACCCGAACTTTAATGACATTCGAGCGATGGTTTTCTTCTTCGAGAGAATAGATAATAATACATGGTCGTGCCGGGTGTCCGCGTCCTCAACTGCGTTGATCTTTGCATTTATTTCAAAAACTGCCCCTCGTAATTGTTAATTACCGCTAAATTTTTTTGTTCTTTTCGCTTGTTTGCATTAAAAGCTTTGATTAACAATCGGTTCAAAGTTTCTCGATAAGAAGAAATATGGCTTTGCTGTATTACTTATGTATCATGCAGCCCTAATGTCTAAACTGAGAGCGAAATAGATCATATATGTATATAGATATGGTTTTTTTATGTTTTTTTTTTTATTTGTTTAACGTGGAAAGACACATGAGCCTTCTGGATTGAGATTTCTTGATTGTGTGCGCTTGTGACTGCGCTTGGATTTGTTAAGTGCGCATCAAGTTGACAGGTAACTGCCCTCACCCTTCTACCTTTCCAAGATCGTGAAAGAACCAAGACGTTTTCTTAATTTAGCGATTTGAATACTGCAGCTATCGAATGAAAACACGACAACGATTCATCATTACAGGTTCGTTTGGTCAAGTTCTGAAGTCAGGGGTCACTTTGTGGACACACGAGGGAATCTATTTGACACAATGACTCTTTTGACCTTTATCTTGTAACAGACCTTTTTGACGATACCCGCCATCTTTACACGCGCTCGAGGACTGATGGAATAAAAGCAATGTCACGTGGTTTCTCAGTGGGGCAAACAAGGGATAAAATGTGCCAATACAAGAAATCACGGTTGAGTTTGTTTATTCTAGACCAAAGAAAATGAAGAACGTTTTATCTTGAAGACCCTAATAGCAAGTTATTAGTGAAAGTGTTCATTGTAACTTTATTTGGAAGCAATAGCGACCGTAGATGTCCGTTCAGCATGTAATAATGAAGTAAAACTTGTCGAAACTCGAACTGTACATTTTGAATGACTATTAAATCGTAGTCTCGTTTGATAGAATAAGAAAAATGAACCGCGATTACTCGTATTGGCAAATTTTAGTCATTGTTTGCTCCCAGAGAAACCACGTGACATTGCTAATATCCTATCGATCCTAAGGCGCATGCAAAGATGGCGGATATCGTGAATAAGGTCTATTGTCGTCGTCCTTATCTGTTTTGTCACGTGGCCTTGACATTAGAAATGCTCTGCTACTTCGTAGGTTCAACCGCTATGAAGCCAAGTTGCTGGAATACGAAGGGCGTGTCTGTAACGGTTCTTACATCTGGAGAATTGAAAACTATCGACAGTGTCGGCAAGATGCCATTAATGGAGTCATGACTGCAATATACAGCCCTGCTTTCTACACCAGTCTCTATGGTTACAAATTATGCATGAGGATCAATTTAAACGGCGTAGACGGTGGCGAAGGAGAACACGTAGCTTTGTATGTGCACATGATGCAGGGAGATTACGATGCTATCTTGGAGTGGCCCTTTAAACTGAGGAAGGTTGAGTTTGCAATCTTGGATCAGTGTGACGCGACCGAGGCTCGTCACCATATCAGCAGATCGTTGGAAGTAAACCCTTACGCGCCTTTCCAAATGCCCACAACACCTCGTACCCATCAAGGACACGGCTTTTCGGAATTCGCTCCCATTACACGGATTCGTGACGGGCATCACGTCATAAACAATACCATGTTCGTGTGCATTCAGGTTATTCTTTACCTTGAAGATACGTACCGTACATTTTCAAGTGACAATTGACTGAACAGTGAGGAAGTGTTCATAAAGAAGTAAAATATGAACAATATTTTATTTTTATTTTATTTTATTTGCCACAGAATAATAGAAAATGAATTACAAATTATATAGGACAAGGAGAAAAAAGAAGTGGCGAGGAGACCTAACAGAAACTATAGGAGCTTATGAGAGGTTACACCTCCTCGAACTACGGGCTAGAGCTGTTCGCATCAATTCAAGAAAAGATGGCGAAAAGTCGAAGATGGAAAGATTTAAGATTGGTTTTCATATTTACTTAATAATTTAATCTTCAGTATTTTCTTAAAGGAGGAAAGGAATTGAGAGTTGATGACCTCGTTGTCAAGTGAATTAAAAAACTTAGGTCCTTGAAAAAAGGCGGGAACTTCTTAGTGTTTGTTCGACAATACGGTAGACGGCAGGCCTGGGAATTTCTTGTATTGTAAGAGTCGAACCGTAGAGGTAAGAATGAATTTTTGCAAGAATACATAAATTGGCCCAGTTGAAGCTAATGAATATCATTAAATCTAAGAAAACCGAGTTCCTTTAAAATGGGGTCTGTATGAGCATTGAAATATGATTTATTAATAATAATGCGCTTTTGCAGTATATCAAGACCGCGGAGATTGGTATTATAGATCGCAGCCCAAACTATATTGCGGTAGTAAAAATAAGGATAAATTAACGAATGGTACAGCCTACGTAGAGACGTTTTAGGAAGAAAGATGCTGCATTTAACCCATTCGGCCCTGGAAACTTTGCCGAAAAACGCGTTTTGAAGCCAGTCGGGCGGTTTTTTGGTCATTGTCGTGCTATAAGGAGCCAAAACTTACCACAAAGCCGTTTACAGGTTATACACTTCGCGGCCTTCTGATTAGCCCTAGCGACAAGTTGCCCCAAAATTCTTCGCAGAAAGTTGCCCGAAGTAGCTCAAATTTTACAAAAAGTTCCTCAACGTTAAATCAAAATGACAGGATTGACAGCCAAAACGCTGCTAGTGAAGTACAAAAATGCAATTTAAACCTACTGACTTCTTTGCCCTGTTTGCAAACACAACTGCTACAGGTGGCGTTCAGAGATACAACTGTGGAATGTTATTCATTTTCCTACAGAATACGTATCCGTATTCGTTTGAAAACACAACTTTTTTTCTCCGTTTTCAAAAAAAAGCGCGTCCTTTCGTAGCGTTTTCGCCTCGTTTTTGCCCGTCCACACGTATAACCGATAAATCGATTTGAAAACGATAAATTCCCGACTGCGCATGGTTCGCTATGACAGGACAATGCCATGTTTAAAATAATGACCCACTTCACTCTGTAGTTATTAATATGCGTCACATATGCGTATGCCTCTTGACACGGGTAGCGAAAGTAACCTGATAATGTTCTGCCTTCTCCTGAAATAGTCGGCTTGAAGAATTAACAAGGCTAAATTTGCTTGAAAACAAGCAACTAGGTTTGAAATAAGCCCAAGTATAAAAGACAATAAAGGGAAGCGCCCGTCCGCCATCTTGAATAAGTTTCGAATATTGCGCGGAGTGGATTGAAACTGATAGTGTGACCTCAGCGTTTTCGAAAAGTTCCGTTTTCGTCCTGCCACACGTACACGCGAAAAGAGCGTTTTCAAAAACTTCCACTCTGGAGAGCGTTTCCGAAAAGTTCCGTTTTCATTGATCTTTTTCATCGGATACGTGTAGACGGAAGCCGTATCTGTAAAGCAAAAGTTACTTTTTCAAATGAAAAGGGATACGTGTGGACGGGGCCTAAGAGTTACTTAAGTGATTTTACTCTACACGAGATTGCCGTGAAATAGTACGTGACAATTATCACCAAATAAATACAATATTAAGAAAACAAAAGAAAACAATCAAACTTGGCGTAAAACTGCGTATAAGTATTAGTCAACAGTCTGTTTCATAGATTAACTAACATCGCTGACTAAGTGTTGTTATAACAAAATCTTTCTCATTAGTCTTTCTCTTGATATTATGGAAACACTGTACACTGTATTCACCCGCACTGTTTAAGCAGACCCCAAATCAGTCAGTATTGTGTGAAAAAGAACTCTGTGAGTCGAAAATCCTTTCAGAACAAGATCTTGTTTCTCTTTGCCTTTCTAGCTATATATTGCAGGGCATTCAGGCTTACTGAGATTTGCTCCTAGCTTTTTGGCCTCGCTTATAGGGTCGCTTTCACTCGAGAAAGAGTGTCAGAGTTGGAATTTCTTTCTCTGAATTACGTGAAGAGTCCGTGAAGATTCGATGTTTGCCGCCATTTTGAAAAACGCACGAACCGTTGACCTCAAACCGCAGGTAGTTTAACTGAGAAGCAGGGGTGGGTGGGGGTGGGGCATGGGGCACAAATTTCAATTCGCATGTTGGTTTGAAAGATCCCTTTACTCTGCACAAGTTAGCGGACAAAGGTGTCCTTGACCATTAAAACTGATGACGTCACAAGCGGTAGAAAGGACGTGGATCCGCACGGACGGTTACGAGCGGCTTGACTTCGCAGCTTTATTTGTGATATTTGTGATATTTGTGATATTTCCGACTTCCAGTTTAGGTTCATCCATATTCCTTCTTCTAAACTTTGGCTTATTTTTTCGGCACGGTTTCAAGATATAAATACAGTTTTTTTTTTCATGGAGATACTCCTCAAAAAGTAGATAACATGCATTGAGCAATATGTTTTGCGTATTTTAGCTTTTCTTCCGTTCAGTTTTAGTCAGAAATTCAGCTATTTCGTCTTCGGATAGCCACGTGAACGCCGTTTTTTTTTAGTTCACTCGTGATTAAGCAGCTGGGCCGCTGTGCCTCCTCTATTGCCGGTGCAACCTCGTTGCCAAATCAATATGCCATCGAATCGATTTCGCATCTTCTAAATTTGGTCAACGCCAGTTGGTTATGAAGAATTAGCCGGGGGCTCTGAGCCAATCAGAAACGGAGGAATGTTTTGAATGAATAATAATCTAATTATTTGGCTGCCCGGACGGCATGCCCAAACAAAAGATGGAGGCCGTCTCGTCCGTGCAACACAAAGACAAAATGGCGGACGGATCAGGTTCCCCCCCCCGCTCCTGCGTTGTTCCTAATCTTCTGATTTTTTTAAAAACATTATGGTAGGGGAACAAAAACAATGTTCTTGTGTGAAGTTATTGGACCCATGTTATCGCCTAAAAAACAGGAAACATCGATCGCGTAGTTAACCTTCTTGTCTAAAGCTCAGTTTGTTGTTGTTTGTTTTTAACCTGTTTTCAGGTTTTTTTATCGTAATTATTATAGTTTTTTTCACAACAGTTGCAAAACAAAAAATAAAATAAAATTGTCTAAAGCTCGTTTCACTTGTCCCCGTCCCCTGAGTGTTTTCTGTCGTTACCAGAAAAGAACCCGGATTGAAACGCATTTCAGTTCTATCACTTTACGAAGGGAAGATCGATGTTAAAGAGGGAAATTCATGTTTGAAAACTGGACCATGGCAATGCTCCGTATACACGGCATACACCGTTCACGGTAGGTCTACACTAAAGATGATTGTGAACGTTTTTGGGACGGACCGGTTCGTGAACTCATAGAAAAATTAAAGACTTGTAATGAAATGAGCAAACGACATTAGTCATCTGTGAGCATAACTGTTGAGCACGCTACGATTACAATTGATAACACTATGATTGAACATTGATGCACGTGCCAAGCTGATGTTTTGCTATTCTATAGTATTATTGTTTATTTTTGTTGTTATGGTTGTCACTGCCGTCGTGGCCAATTAATCTTTGAAACGTGGAGTTTTTTTGCAGCCATCAACTTTTACATGTTTCTTTTTTTTTCACATTTTGGAGCGTGCACTGGTTTTGTTTGGCCGACTCGCGATTATAGCTCAAGTGAACAATAGCCCTCGAGCAAATGTATTTCCAGCAGGGGAGGCTAACTTTGGGCAAACTATGTATTGGTCCCTAGAAAGGTCACCCCAGGACACAAGCGATGGATTTGATTTGTAAAGTACCCAGGCCCTTGCTTGGCCGCGCGTTGATCTGGCCCGACCTCTTCGGCACATCGACTTTCGGCCTTTTTGGATTATATCATTCGAGTTTGTCAAAGTCTGCGGGATTCGTTTCTCTAGCAAGGAAAGCTTCATTGGTTTCTATACCTGATGCTATCTTAATTCTACGATACTAGCGTGTTTATTTACCGCTGGAATTCGAATTTCGTGGAAAAAGTTGTGGTGGAAAGGGAGCATGGCGGCCGAGATGCCATCTCGTGAATTTGAGCAAGTTATCATGAAACATCGTTTGATCATTAAGGACAACAACAACTAACTGCAGAGTAAGTTTCATTGACTTTTATTCAGTATTTCCTACGAATTTTAGGGTTGTACTTTTACCCCATACAAACACTGTAATTTTTATGAAACCGTAATGTGATAATATCACAGAGCCTGGGTTACCTGTGCTACGACCGCGGATTCGAATTCCTCTTATGCCACATTCAACCTCCTTTTTTTTTCTAATAAATAATTGAAGGGACCTAGAGAAGATTAGAAGAGTAGAAATTTGAAGAGACTTAGACATTTCATGTAAGTGTAGCTAAGAGGGAAAGGTGGCTCTGGAGGATAGAATCTAATGCTAACCGGTGAACGACATGTTTCCAGAATTTCCCAATACCACCTTGCGCGCTTGCTGAACCAGGATTACCCGAGACCGCCTTGCACGCATGCTAGAAAATTAACCCGGACCACCTTGCGCGCCTGGTTTCTTGGTTCGCCTGGTTTGAATCGAAAAGATTTCGCATATTACCAATGCAACGAAAAAAACGATCCTTCTCTACGCATGGGAATTTAGAGTGCCTCCTCCGGTTCCGGCCTCTGGCCGAAACCCTGTGGGGGCAAAAATTGCGGCGCTAATAAGGGTTGTTTCGACGCTTCTCTAATCATCATATCGGGTTCGATTCTTGATCCTTATCGGCCATTTTGGATTTTTGTGGAGGTTACCGCCGAGTACTCGTTTCCAGACTTCCGCGATTTTTTAGTACGAAAAAATGTGTATGTAACACTCTGAAGATGACTACCTCACAGGTAGTCGAAACGTCAGTCACTGTCAACAACAACAGTCCTATTCAGGACTACGTTCACCCGGACGATCATACTCAACGTACTTATGAAGGTTACGTCCCATTAACATTTACAAGGACAATTTCAATGTCAATGCAATTCCTTTTCGGTTACACCTCTTAGCCTCCCGGCCTACTATGAATGTACTCACAACTGCTCTATTGTGTGCTCAAAACATCTGCCGAACACAGCTTCAAAGTTAACATGATCCAGACTAAAGTTTATTTCCTGTTCTCCTTGGGTTCCAAAGGCCCCTCCCCATTTGTTTGATAACTGGGAAAGAAAAACCTTTGAAGCTTCCCGCACGAGCTCTCACGGGGACTGTTTGCTTCGTTGTCCTCATAACCAAAGACGTTCCGGGTCAGTGACTGTCGTAAACATTGAATTCCCTGTTTCGGTTTCTCGGAAAGCTAGAGTTTCTTTCATCGGTTTTTTAATCTGTATGAAAAGCGATAAGATTAGAACTACAACGTTGACCAATGGCCCGAAGCTATTTGCAACTTTTCCTTAGGACGATAGCAGTTGAGTATTTTCAGTTTATATCACTTTCATACCCAGTTAGGGAAAAATTTAGGACAACTTAGCTTAAAGACTACCTAAAACTTCAAAGCCAATGGCCCGAAGCTATTTGCAGTATTATTCTTCCTTGGTAGGATCGCACTCGAGTATTTTTCGCTTTCCGATCAGTTTCATATTCAGTTCCTTTTTCTTCTTTTTTTGATATGTCAAAAAATGTCAATGTCTTATCCGCAATGCAATTAAGGGAACCTGTAAGATAAAAAAAATCACTAAGATAGACCCTGAGTCGTTGTCTTCAAAATAGCAAATGACGGTGTATAGGATCCAAGCTGTTGTTTCGCTTTCATCTCTAAGAAAACCAATCACATAAGCTTTTAATTAGATAATCATGGCTCCATGAATAGCTTATTCTTCTGTTCCATACAAGGAAAGTGGCAAACTGGCCCAACTTAATTTTAAAGGTTGCTTCATTATTCTTCATGATTCTCCGTTCCTTACTTCGTCGCCTCTTAGTTCGTCGTAATCATCTACAAGGCGAGAGGAGTCGTGGTAGGTATACTAATGAATTATTAGCCTACAATGCAGGGGAATTTTTGGGCTGGCGAGAGTTGCTTGTTGATGTTCATATTGTTATAGCCGTCATCTTTGATTTCATTACGGAAATAACAACCCTTGGGGAAAGCCCCAATCCCTCAATTTTTTTTTGGAATTCGATATGGCGGTTTCAAAGTGGCGGTTACGCGAGCGAACAAAAACATTCGTAGACTTACCACAAGTCGACTGCGTGAGCGCCGAAAGCGCGAGGGACGCTCGCGAAAAGGAGCGAAAGCTGGAGACGAAGTCGCGCGCCAGAAACGGCCGGCTTTGAGAAAGTCTAAAACATTTGGCGTGCACCGGAAGAAAACGGCTGCAGTGCAGACTAATGAAGTATTGACTACTATCAACAGTTTTTGTATGTGTGTCTTTGTTACGCGCTGTTAGGTCCGGTTCAAACGTCGCATTTCATATGATCACAGGTGCGACTTTTGAACCGGGCCTAAACAAGACTGCTGCAGGATTTTCAGCTTCATTTCAATTCGTCCCATACAGACCACTGTCATGGACAGCTTTGACGAACTTACGCTGGGCATCACAGTAATCAACATTGTAGCTCTCATTGCTACTTTTCTTCTCAACACCGATCGTGCTTTAAGTTGCATCAAGTTAAGCAGAAAATGCTTAGTTCTCCTTACCAGAGGAATCCTGGGAAAAAGAAACGTATACGTCAAAACTTTTTACAGAATGATATACGAGCTAATGTTCAGTAGCTACCGTCAGATCGGAGATAACCGTGACCCGGATATGATAGAATGCGGCCATAAAGTTCTCGCTTTCCTCCGCGAGAGTGGCGAAAAAGCTTATGAAGGAGAGCTGACCTTTTATCTGGCGCAATTAAATAAGAAACAAAGTAGATAAGAAGAAGCAATAGAGCTTTATGAGAAAGCAGCTAGCGTCATGATGGATATTGGTGAAAGGGAAAAGGAAGGAGTATGTCACAAATGCCTAGGAATTCTGTTTAATTCTTTTAATGAACGTGAACAGGCTGAAAAATTACCTTAAAAAGGCACTTTTGGCCGCGGTGGAAGTCAGAAACAAGGTAGAAGAAGCCGATTGTTCCAGACGCTTAGGAAATCTGTTTCAAGACACCGGTAAACATGGAATGGCTGAAGAATACGTTCAGAGATCACTTGCTATCTCCAAAGCAAGTGGCAACATTCGAGAAGAAATCGCACATTATGCAACCCTAGGAAATGTGTATTTTCACATCGTTGAATATGCCAAAGCTGAAGAGTACCTCGAAACGGCTATTGAGGAAAGTAAAAAAAATGGTTACAGAGAAGTAGAAGGAGCTGCTTGCGAAATCCTTGGCAAGGTGATGTTTCGGTTTCGCGGGGATTACCTCAAGGCCAAAGAATATCATGAAAACTCGCTTAAGATCAGCAAAGAACTTGGCCTTAGACGAGAAGAAGCAGTAGATTTCGGAAACTTAGGGAACATGTATTGCTTTATCGGCGAATACGACTAGGCTGAAAAATTTCACTCGAAAGCACTTGCAATCAGAAAAGAAACTGGGGACAAAAAAGGAGAAGCAACAGATTACGGAAACCTTGGAATGGTGTTTCTGTATCTTAAAGAATTTGGCAAGTCCAAAGAATACTTCAAAACAGCACTATTGCTGAGTGAAAAGTCTGGATTCTGTGAAGTCGAGTTAAATGCCCACTGTAACCTCACAACGCTTATACTGTTTGAAGGGGATGTAAATGGAGCTAGATCACATCTGTTTTCCACTGTTAGTAAGCTGGAATACATGCGAAGTTTCTTGGGAGATAATGACAAATTTAAGCTATCCTTTACTGACAGGCAAGCCAGTTGCTACCTAGTACTAAGCGCATTGTACTGTGAAACTGGAAGTCGTAATGAAGCTCTATCTGTTGTAGAACTTGGACGAGCTAGAGCCCTATCAGACTTGATCGCAACTCGATACTGTCTAGAAAAACAAAGATCAGTCAGTCCACAGACATGGATAGAGATTGGCAAAATCATGGAGAAAGAAAGAAATTGTACTTGTCTATATATTTCATATTATAGACAGCATCTATTTCTCTGGATTCTAAAAGCGGAGAAGCCAATACTTTTCGACAAGTAGACATCAATGACTTCTTCTCGGAAAAAGGGCGCAATGTGGAAGTGCTTGATCTTTTTGCAAACGAAACTTCCCGAAAACTTCATATTTTACCAGAGGATGAGCAATGCGAAGATCAATCGTGGTTTCTTCTCAACGATGACGATTCAACATCCAAGTCATCTCGTGAACACGATACCCCAGATTTTCGCCTTATGAATGAAGAAGAGAACCAGCAACGGGATCCCACTTTTGCTGATTTTTACAGAATGATCATCGCTCCTGTGGCTGACTTACTTGATGAAGGCGAAATCATCATTGTTCCTGATCGCTTCTTGTTCAAAGTTCCATTTTCAGCCTTGGTGGACGAGAATGAGAAATATTTATCAGACACCTTCAGGATCCGTATCGTTCCCTCTCTTACAACACTCAAGCTCATTCAGGACTGTCCAGTAGACTATCAGAGTCAGACTGGTGCACTGGTAGTGGGGAACCCTGTTATTGGTGAGGTTTGCTACAATAGAGAACTTTATACCCCGGGCAGATTGCCTTTTGCAAGAGAAGAAGCAGAGATGATTGGACGATTGCTCGGAGCTCATACTCTACTAGGAGAGGAAGCCATGAAGGAGGCAGTTCTCCAAAGAATAAGTTCAGTCAGTCTTATTCATTTTGCTGCGCACGGTAACGATGAAAGAGGAGAAATTGTTCTTGCCCCTCCGCCTTTTATGAATAGGACTCCACAAGAAGAAGACTACCTGTTGACAATGGCCGATATCTCACAAGTTCGACTGCGAGCTAAACTGGTAGTCCTTAGCTGTTGTCATAGTGCGCGCTGACAGATCAGAGCCGACGGAGTGGTTGGAATTGCTCGTGCTTTCTTAGGGTCCGGTGCACGCTCGGTGTTGGTGGCATTGTGGGCAATAGAAGACGAAGCAACAAAGCAGTTCATGAGTCATTTCTATGAGCATCTTGTCCGTGGGGAAAGCGCCAGTGAATCTCTTCACCAAGCCATGAGGGGGATGAGAGAAAACGGCTTCTCTAAAGTGAGGCAATGGGCTCCTTTCATGCTGATTGGAGATAACGTCTCCTTTGATTTCCGTAAGAAAAGGTATGCTTTAGAAAATGATAGATAATAATTTTAAAACATTTTAATTTCTCATTACTTAAGCTGAAAGTACCCAATTGAATACGGACTGAATACAAAGAATAATCCTTACATAAGTTAAGTCACCCCAGTGACAAGGACATTCTTCACTTTTTAAAAAAAGTAAAACAGTTTGACGTTTTTCCGCGAGAAACACACGCTAATCGTGAAAAGTACGTCACTCAATGCTTGGGGTAGGGTCATGACCTTTTCGTCTGGTACTTATAACGTGGCAGATACATCTTGATTTAACATTTTTGAGAAATTGTCGCTGCAATTGTACGAAAACCGAACCTAGGACACTGAATATTCAATGCCCTCTAAATAAAGACACTTTTGAAAGTAATTGTGACAGTTGGCATATGTGTATCAGTCACCAACTATTTTGCATCGGAAATTGTTTCCAAGTTTGATTACAACTTTAAAAGCATGTATGATTCTAGTTAGTGATATTATTTCTTACGTAGGTAAGCAATCGGTCGTTCTGGAAAATGTTGAACAAACTACACTTCAAGTTAGCACGGGCAGATTTCAACCTAATCAATGGATAAAACGACGATTTCATTCCCAGTAATTGCTGTCTTAATATCTCAACAGAATAGGATCGTTTCACGTGAATCACTCCAAGACATGAGTGAAGACGACAGTCCTGCGCCATAAAATGGACAGTTGACAAAATTACAAATAGTACACGCCTAGATTTGAAGTGATCGTATGATTTTTTTTAATGTTTGTGATAGTGTGCTTCAGCCTTGATAGTTTTCTGTAAGCCTTTACCTATTTAGATTGTAAATGTTCTTTTGATATCGAAACGTTTCATGAGCATGCAAGAAGAAATAGTCAGAGCGTTTCCCGAGTGTCTAAAAAAAGTGAGTAAGAGTAGACAGTTTTCAGACAAATTTAAGGCGCCAACAAAAAGCTACTAGAAGAAAAGAGCAGAGATTCTATGCAATAGATCCTCCACTAGGAATGTTATAGCTGGGACAGCTCTCCGTTTGAATGGAGGACAATCGAACAACATTATTTAGTTTTCTCCAATTCATTCCATTCAAAACTGTAAAAGGTGTGAACCCAGGAGTCATTTCGTTATGATCGTCCTGGTGAACGTAGTCCTGAATTGGACTGTTGCTGTTGACAGTGACTGACGTTTCGACAACCTTTGCGATAATCATCTTCAGATCGAAATGAGTTGTATCGAGTCAGTTGATGGTATATTATTGACCTGATTGGTCAATTAAGTCGTGATGTTATTGGTCGTCTATCAGTTAAGCCGTGACGTTATTGGCTTAGAAGACTCGTAATGTCATTGGTGCGTTTCGTTTTTTGGAGAACAATGACAGAACAACAAATGTAAGGGTGGATTTTCACTGTCGCGTAGTTTTTACGTACGTACGCGCGTAAATAAAATAGAGGAATTGTATGGAAGCTCGCGCGTAGACCTAAAAGTTGAGCGAGGTTCACCTTTTACATCCGTTGCGCGAGACCTTCCATACACTGCTTCAGTCTATTTTATTCTTACGTGCGTACGCACGGTAGGCACGTGAATAACGCAACAGTGAATAACCAAGCACGTACCAACGCGTGCGTTGTAAAACGTAAATACTTCAAATTGTTAGTAAAAGGTATTTTCTTACTTTATTTGCATGGCCTTACCGCCATGATAATTGTGTAATGAATGACTGAGTAGTATTTCCTACAGTGAGCCAGTCCGTTAGCCTGTGTACAGATGCTCCCTCACCTCAAAGACAAAAATCAGGAAGAGACTTTTTTCTGAGGGGAGGGGGGCGTCCGTACTAAGGCTACCAGTCCGTGTGAGCAACGTGCATACTGTTTGATTGAAAGAAAAGTCTTTAAACTGGCACTGGAAACGAGAAACTGATGGGTGCAACACTGTGCCAACTTTTTTTAGAAATGGTATGAATTTTTACCGTGGTGACTTTCATAAATAAATGTTATGTGCGGAACAGGATAAGTGAACATTTAACCACTGGAAATGCACTCATGCAGTTGTGTCTGGTATTGAACGAAGGTATATAATTGTTTTATGAGTACCTCGTCGTTTGACCATTTATTTTTTTTTATTATTCTTTTTCGCATTACACCGTATTCGAGTATGATAGCCTGCGGACACAGACGTATTTCCGGTCGTTGCTTCTTAAGAAGCTGTTGCGTGTTGTTGCCAGCCAGTTGTTATTGTTGCGTTCAACGTCGCAGGAAACCTTGTTATAGTCGTGAAATTCACGTTGTAGAGCGTATTTAGTAACTCTCACCAAAATCCAAGACACGCCAGCCAGCGAAGTCGCGAGGATTCACTCGAGCTGTATTCTATCCTTTGATCTGATTGGCCGACTCAAAACAAAAGACCTAACGTCACGGAAATCATTTTGCCACTCGGGTTCGCAGACGTTAATTTTCTGGTGGAGAGAAGCGACGACCGAAAAAACGTCTGTGTCCGCAGGCTAATTTGAATACTTCCATTCCAAAAAAGGCACTTGTATAATTACTTCACTGACAATAGAATAGTACGTACACTTCACTATGTGGTTTAGTTTAAGAAACGTCACCAGCTACTTTACAGGTGTATCACTATGAATAAAATAAAGTAAAATAAATAGAGTAAGAGATTAAATATAGAATAAGAAAACATAGAAGCTATTTACAATTAAAAACTAAGTTGTAACATATAAAAACTATTCAAACTTACTTACAAAGTCGAGTGAGAGAACGATTCGTAGATTCTAAAGTAATGATTTGTTTGCTAATAGTTTTTCTGACAGCTTTTTAGTCGGATTACGCTCTTACGCCAGGTAAGCTTTTCCAAAGCTAAGGCGTCTGATTGCGCCAGGAGTTAAGTCCGAACTTTGGCTTGTGGTGTTAACATTTGGCATTGTCAGAATGTCCTTTCCTCTCAAAGCATATGGCGTTTCTCTTGGCGATATTAAATCTCTTAAACTCTCCAGGTTTGTTTTATGATTTACGAGTTTGTTAATCCGAACAGAGGATTTTATGCAATCTTTGTTCCACTAATTAAAGTTCTTCTTTCCCGGCGAGACTGGGATTGCTTACCATTTGAAAGGATATTTCGTTTTTTTTTTTGAGAAATGGAACTGCAATTTTTCTCACCAAAAAAACTGAACACATTGAGTCCCATCATTTGATCCGAAGTAGTTTTGGATGCAGATGATTCGTGGGCCATAAGCTCAAAAACACGAATCATGGAAGCAAAAGTAAAACACAAGTACCGATAACCAAAACTTTAATCATCTCTCACCTAGAGAGCTACAGATGTGTTGTAAGAAGTCTGTTAATAATGGCGACGAGAATAAAACAGCTGTCACATCATTGGTTTGGAAGAGTAACGAGTCATTACTTATCTTGGGCATTATTATCAACTTCTCAGAAATAGCCTGGCACTGATACTTGTGGACAAATAGAACAGAAATTTTCAGGAATTCCGGTAAAAGCGAGGAAGAAGATGATATATATTTCAGAGGGTTTTACCTTTTCCGTAAAGCATTCCGCTGGGATGAACTGTTCAATGTCGTTGAATTCTCCCCGAAATTACCTTTTTTTTTCAATACAAATGGTAAGGGCTCTGGGCCTGGGCATGACTTGTAAAGATCTTCCAGTTGGCCATTAACTCGGCATGACGTCAATCAAAATGCAAATTTATATTTTTTGGCGTTCGAAATCTACATTTTATGGCCGCCATCTTGATTTCAGTTGTGCAACGTAAGCATGGCAATGTTTACTCACCGGAATAGTAGCAAAAAAAATGCTAATGGCAGAATGGAACAAACAAGAAGTTCCGGGTGAGTTGACCGACGAAAAAAACTTATACAATTTCGGTTTCTTGGAAGACGGAACTCATTAATTATTGACGATCTACACGAGAGACGTTACCGGTTGCAATCCAAGGCAAGTACACATTTCTAACGTTAATACTTCGTAGAACTACAGCAGAACTGACCCCAGGACTATAATCATTTTTTTAGTTGATATGATATAAAAGGCCAACACTCCACTGACCCAAGCCCTATCAGTATTTACTACTGATTTAGGTATTGTTCAATCAGGGAATACTTATGAACATAGCCACTATGCAATGGCTAACTATAGTTTCTCCATATCTAAATGGAGGCTTTTGTGATCGTTTCAAATTTATAAGCTGAATGTCGTAGTTGTGCAAAATTGTTTGACAATACTGAAGAAGAGTAACTAAATGTTCCCAAATATCTATTGAAGAATTAGAAAATTTATAAGATACAAAGTAACCTCTGAGTTTCCCTAAATTGTTTACTAACTAACTGAAAAAGTGGGTGTCATTTGTGAGTTGTTCGCAATATAATGTTCAAATTGTTTTCTCGCCGTTTTAATTAATTGTGCAGATGGTTTCCTGCGATGCTTTCGATAGGATGACTTTTGAACTTTCCTTAGCTTGAACAAGCTAAGGAAAGGATTAATTTGCATGTCTTTGTTTTGTATAGAAAGTACGTGTTGTTTGGTTTGTTCTTTCCTGTATAAACTCAGTCAGTTCTTGTCCTTAGCTTATACTGACATTTGTAGTCATTATTATGCATATTTTGGATGATCCTTGGTCCCTTCAGCCAAATTTGAAACAGGTTCGCCAATCGGGTATCCTGCAGAATGGTGTTGATTACAGGAAGGTAAACCACCTTAAAAAACATGCATTTGTCACTTATGAAAGTTAAATGCTTTAAGCATCATTTTCTACTTAAAAATATTTCTCTTTTGCTTTCGTGAGTGGACTTCGTCACTTGATTAGCCACGCCCAATTTCGAACCAAATTCAAAGCCTTATTGATTGAATCCATAGTTCAATATGCTGCGAACGCTCCGATTGAAGACATACTGTCTGCTCATTCTTCCACTTGCCGTAACTTATCAAGAAGAGCAGCACACAGTCGAGGCTGGGAGAATCTTTCTTTCGTTTCCCCGTTCGACGTAGCGAGATGATTTTTCGGCTCCCAAACACCGTCAGCATATCGAGTCTCTCCTGGCTCCATACTTGATATGTTTCAAATTCCGAAAGTCTTTGCGCTGTTATAGCATAACCTATTTAATTTCGGCTTTCGTTTTAGCCCGTTGAGTCGCAGGAGTGACAAACATCTGTTTTCCCCTATCGCCCCATTGTAGAGAATCCGGCCCCGGAAACCGGGAAGTTTTTCTCATGGAATCTGGAATCCAGAACATTTTTTCCCATGGAATCCAAAATCCTGGGCTTTGGACTCCGGAACACAACTCTAGGAATCCGGAGGCCACTGACGATTGGAATCCGGAATCCAGTAGCTGGAGTGCGGAATCCACTGGTGTGGAATTTAGAATACAAGACTGTCTTGGACTCCCTAACATGGGGGGACCCCTGCATAATCAAGAGAAAAAGCTATGAAAATTAATGAAATGATCGCCTAAGGGAAAGTGCTTCGCGAGTTTCATGGCAACATCTCTCAACCAAATCCTCAGTGTGCAGATTGGTCTGGTGAATTTATGTGTGTGGATATTGGGGCTTAAAGGATTAGCACTGAGAGCATGCCTGCATCACGGTCTTTCGGCGGAAATTTTTTTTTACCGGCAGCCGCTACCGGTGGCAGCATGTGAAGCATTAGGGTTCAGGTCGACTGACCGCAATAAATAATAGGCCATTTTCAAGTTTAAAGTCCAACAGGTAGATCCAACTAACCAGATGGCAGATCTAACAAACCGAGTTCGTCAGTTGAAGCAGCAGCTAAGGATGGCCACCCTAAATGCCCAACAAGCAGATCCAGGCGACCAAGGGCTTCACGTGCAGTGCCAGCAAACGATCGCCGCCTTAACTAACCAGGTGGCAGATCTAACAAACGGAGCTCGTCAGTTGGAGCAGCAGCTAAGGATGGCCATGGCAGATCTAACGAACCGAGTTCATCAGTTGGAGCAGCAGCTAAGGATGGCCATGGCAGATCTAACGAACCGAGTTCGTCAGTTGGAGCAGCAACTAAGGATGGCCATGGCAGAGCTAACGAACCGAGTTCGTCAGTTGGAGCAGCAGCTAAGGATGACCTTGGTAGATCTAACGAACCGAGTTCGTCGGTTGGAAGAGAAGGAGGAAGAGGAGGAATTGGCGTCCCATATGAAAAACCTCAATCTGAAATGAAATTGATTTTATTGGGGTTGTGCCCCACCTCCAACCTCTGCAGATATATTGAGGGCTTTCAAAGTTTAGCCATTCATTTTTTTGTTAATGTAATTTTTGCACTTGAATCTTTCATTTTCTGAGTATGAGATATGACCGTAAATAAGCATTGATTGATACTAGTCTATGTGTAGGAAATGGAATGAAATTTTAACTGCAACATAGATGGATTTCAGTTTTATTGTGGTATATATTTGTCTGACGTATATAATAAATAAGTCTTCATTGCATGTAAGTTAAAAAAAAATACCCGAAGGTTAATTTCATGAAAGAATTAAGAAAAATTCCAAACGGAAAACTTGGTTTCCGCAAACGTCTAACCCAGTTTTTGGACGTATTTACGCAGTAGGGGCAACGGGAACACGGAAAAACCAGACAGGTTGCCGGATAGTATCTTCACGTTTCCGCCCGAAGAAGAACGAAATAATAGGTTTCCGATACGGAATTTCGCGTTTCCGCACATAAACAAACGTTAGCGATTGCAGAAATACGTTATTCCTGAAATGGAAATCTCTCGGAAACATGTTAAAAAAATAGCCTGCGTGGCAGGCGCAAAAAGGGGAGGGAGAGGGGGAGGGAGAAAAGTACGAAAGAGGGGAAACACATTGAGTCCTATCATTTGATCCGAAGTTTTGGATGCAGATGTTTCCTTGGCCATAAGCTCGAAAACACGAATCGTGAAAGCAAAAGTAAAACACAAGTACCGATAACCAAAACTTTAATCATCTCTCACCTAGAGAGCTACAGTTGTGTTGTAAGAAGTCTGTTAATAATGGCGACGAGAATAAAACAGCTGTCACTTCATTGGTTTGGAAGAGTAACGAGTCATTACTTATCTTGGGCATTATTATCAACTTCTCAGAAATTGCCTGGCACTGATACTTGTGGACAAATAGAACAGAAATTTTCGGGAATTCCGGTAAAAGCGAGGAAGAAGATGATATATATTTCAGAGGGTTTTACCTTTTCCGCAAAGCATTCCGCCGGGATGAACTGTTCAATGTCGTTGAATTCTCCCCGAAATTACCTTTTTTTTCAGTACAAATGGTAAGGGCTCTGGGCCTGCGCATGACTTGTAAAGATCTTCCAGTTTGGCCATGAACTCGGCATGACGTCAATCAAAATGCAAATTTATATTTGTTGGCGTTCGAAATCTACATTTTATGGCCGCCATCTTGATTTCAGTTGTGCAACGTAAGCATGGCAATGTGACTCACCGGAATAGTAACAAAAAAAATGCTGTAATGGCAGAATGGAACAAACAATAAGTTCCGGGCGAGTTGACCGATGAAAACAACTTATACAATTTCGGTTTCTTGGAAGACGGAGCTCATTAATTATTGATGATCTACACGAGAGACGTTACCGGTTGCAATCCAAGGCAGAACTACAGCAGAACTGACCCCAGGACTATAATCATTTTTTTAGTTGATATGACATAAAACGCCAACACTCCACTGACCCAAGCCCTATCAGTATTTACTACACTGTAATTTTCAGGGAGTTATAATAACTCCTCTAGTGGGGCTAATTTAACTCCTTACAGTGGAGTTATTTTTCGTGGAGTTATTTTAACTCCAAAAAGGAGTTTAAAGAACTCTTTTTCAGGAGTAAAAGTGACCACAGATTTTGAGGAGTTAAAATAACCCCAAAAAAGGAGTTATCCTGTACCTAAAATTTTTACTCCACTTTCAGAGTTAAATTAACTCCAAAAAGAGTGAAAACAACCCCTGTAAGGAGTACAAGTAACCCCATTTCGGAGTAATTTTAACTCCAAGACTGGGAGTAAAAAGAACTCTTTTTCAGGAGTAAAAATGACCCCAAATTCGGAGTTAAATTAGGAGTTAAAATAACCCCAAAAAAGGGGTTATCCTGTACCTAAAATTTTTACTCCATTTTTGGAGTTATAATAACTCCCTAAAAATTACGGTGTACTGATTTAGGTATTGTTCAATCAGGGAATACTTATGAACATAGCCACTATGCAATGGCTCACTATAATTTCTCCATATCTAAATGGAGGCTTTTGTGATCGTTTCAAATTTAAGCTGAATGTCGTAGTTGTGCAAAATTGTTTGACAATACTGAAGAAGAGTAACTAAATGTTCCCAAATATCTATTGAAGAATTAGAAAATTTATTATTTTATTATATTAATTTTTATTTCTGAGTTTCCCTAAAGTGGTTACTAACTAACTGAAAAACTGGGTGTCATTTGTGAGTTGTTCACAGTATAATGTTCAAATTGTTTTCTCACCGATTTAATTAATTGTGCCGATGGTTTCCTTCCATGCTTTCGATATGATGACTTTTGAGCTTGAACAAGCTAAAGAAGGTATTAATTTGCATGTCTTTGTTTTGTATAGAAAGTACGTGTTGTTTGGTTTGTTCTTTCCTGTATAAACTCAGTCAGTTCTTGTCCTTAGCTTATACTGACATTTGTAGTCATTATTATGCATATTTTGTATAATCCTTGGTCCCTTCAGCCAAATTTGAAACAGGTTCGCCAATCGGGTATCCTGCAGAATGGTGTTGATTACAGGAAGGTAGACCACCTTAAAAACATGCATTTGTCACTTATGAAAGTTAAATGCTTTAAGCATCATTTTCTACTTAAAAATATTTCTCTTTTGCTTTCGTGAGTGGACTACGTCACTTGATTAGCCACGCCCAATTTCGAACCAAATTCACAGCCTTATTGATTGAATCCATTGTTCAATATGCAGCGAACGCTCCGATTGAAGACATACTGTCTGCTCATTCTTCCACTTGCCGTAACTTATCAAGAAGAGCATCACACAGTCGAGGCTGTGAGAATTTTTCTTTCGTTTCCCTGTTCGACATAGCGAGATGATTTTTCGGCTCCCAAACACCGTCAGCATATCGAGTCTCTCCTGGCTCCATACTTGATATGTTTCAAATTCCGAAAGTCTTTGCGCTATTATAGCATAACCTATTTAATTTCTGCTTTCGTCTTAACCCGTGGAGTCGCAGGAGTGACCAGCATCAGTTTTTCCCTATCGCCCAAATGTAGAGAATCCGGCCCCGGACACCGGGTTTTTCTCATGGAATCTGGAATCCAGAACATTTTTTCCCATGGAATCCAAAATGCTGGGCTTTGGACTCCGGAACACAACTCTAGGAATCCGGAGGCCACTGACGATTAGAATCCGGAATCCAGTAGCTGGCGTGCGGAATCCACTGGTGTGGAATTTAGAATCCAAGACTGTGGTTCCCTTACATGGGCGACCCCTGCATAATCAAGAGAAAAAGCTATGAAAATTAATGAAATGATCGCGTAAGGGAAAGTGCTTTGCGAGTTTCATGGCAACATCTCTCAACCAAATCCTCGGTGTGTAGATTGGTCTGGTGAAGTTATGTGTGTGGATATTGGGGTGAAAGGATTAGCGCTGAGAGCATTCCTGCATCACGGTCTTTCCCGGAAATGTTTTTGTTACCGGCAGCCGGTACCTGTGGCGGCGTGCAGTGAAGCAAAAGGGGTTCAGGGCGTCTGACTGCAATAAATAGTAGGCCATTTTCGAGTTCCAAAATTTCTCTCTTTCAAAACAAAGCTATGCAAAATCTTTCAAGTAAAAATGAGTTTGCACGAGAACAAAAGTCATTTTCTTAACAATGGCTTAGCATTTATGTAGCCTCACTTTGAAACAGAGGCTTACAACTCGGAAATGGCCTAGCATTGCCAATTTCCTTTCGATTTCTTGGAAAGACAGACTGTTCTATTTGTGGGGCATGGAGCTACTTCCGCTACTTCCTAGAAGTGCTATGCAATTAATATCTATCTGTAAAATAAACGGAGAGAACACTCACCTTATACACTCTGGTAAGTATATACAGCTTCATATTTAACAACTATTCTTTGAAGTCAAGGTAAATTTTCCTAAAGCCACTATTCACCGAGAGTTAGATCTTTGCAGAATGATTTCAAACATGGCAATTCGCAAGTTTATCATTTTGCAAACGACAGTGTAATGGCTTAAATGGAACTGTTAAAAGTTTGAAGCTTAAAACACCAAGATCACTGAGTGTGTATATACTAACAGTGGTAATAGCCTTTAAACCAAAATTTCTACAAATTGAGAAACACTTAGAGTGGTTATATGCCTTTTTTTTTGGCTAGCTTTGTGATGCGAGATGTTGCACGTCATAAAGGAAAATGTGTCTGTTTCCCCCTCCGAATGTAGATGCAGGGATTGTCCAAAACAGAGGATGAAGGGTTATAAATTACATTATGACAAAACTCGATGCAAAGAATTATTTGATGCTTATAATCAAATTTGTTGAATTTAAAATTCCTTAAATGAAAATGACAATATCAGTCGTGAAAAGTGGACCTATAGATGCATGGTCAGGAATGCAAAATTTTTACACTTTGCTAAATGAAAAAGCAATCCTTGAATAAGCTTATGTGGGCTTGAATATGCAAGCTTACTAGACGTTGGTGTTTCTTAACTGCTACTACATTCATGTGCGATCCAGGGAGCTCATAGAACGTCTATTTTTGGCCGCCTACTGAAACGGAGGCACCCGACGACCGACGTTTAAGGGGGCTTTTTCGTAGCCTGTGTAGAGACTTCCTCCCTCCCTCAGAAAAAAATCGGGAGGGAGGGGGAACGTCTGTACACAGGCTAGCTTTTTCGTCCCACCCGAATAACTGCTAAACCTTTGTGAGTCCGAGTAGCCCTACTGTCATGACTAAAATTTTGGGGGACATTCTCTTGTCTCTCTATGCCGAAATTTTCTGGAGACTCCTTTTAGCTCACTGTTTTAGCAATAATCGCAAAATCTACGTAGGTAAAGTGCGAAAAACACAGACTCTGAAAATCGTAGGCACTACAAAAACTTCTAATATATCTTAGACGAATGGAAATCTAGACATTTTTAGCCTATGAAAGTGAAAGTGAAAAATAATGAGGACGCTCACTTGTAATCATGACGAAATCT